AAACCCCCCCCCCCCCAATTAACGAACACTTCAGCTTTGTTGCTGATTTCGCGCGTTCTGAAGCGTTTCATGATCTGTTTTCTTGTGTAGATACGTATATTGCAACACATATCCATTTTAGAAAAAAGAACTTGGAATCGATCCACGCCCGGGGACAAAATCCTCACATCCCCGGGTTTTCCGGCTGAAATCGGGGACGGATTTTACACCATTTTTGACCGTGCGGCGGTGCTGCGCACATGAAAAGAGCCAAAACTAAGAGATTAATGCACAGTGGGTCTAATCTGATCACATACAGACTTCCTACAAAAAAAATTAGGACGAAAAATGCTGCGCATGTGATGTAATGCCCGTTCAAACAGGCACCCCTTGACCTGGCCGCCACTCCAAGAATTCTCCGAAAGAACCCCAAGGCCATTTCCCTTATTTCACAGCAGTCGTCTTGCATTCCCACAAGACGCCCTTTGGTGGGGAGGTTTGTTCTATCACAAGAAACACTGCTGTTGCAAAAAAAAAAAAATGCATGCCCGGGGACAAAATTACCATATCCAACGGTTTCCCGGTATCACCCAACCCCGCCCCACCCGCGCTGCTGGGGTGCAGCCTGATAACCATCTCTACATGCCCCCACAAACCACGTCATCTTCTACTTTACTCGAATAGTTCATCCACCGCCTAGACAACAGTAGTCCAGAAAAAAACACAACCGTAAAGCATCTATCCTAATCTAAACATCAAGGATTGGTGTCGGGATCCGTTGCCGTCCTCGGGAGGAAATCTTCCTCCTCCTTGCTCAGGACAGTCCTGGGACCAACCTTCGCATCTATGGCCACCTTCTTCCTTCACACGGTCGTGCAGCGAGGCCAGCGGTAACGCGTAGGTCTTCGCAGCAACGCGGAGCGACATCTTACCGCTGCGTGCCGTATCTACAGCCTTCTGGGCCTGCTCTGGGTCTACTCTCGTACGTCCCATGCTTAACAGCAGGACCTCGAAAAAGGGCAAATACGCCCCACATCAGGGGTGTGGGTGAGGGCTGTGCTGTATCTCGGGAGTGCTTGACGCGATCGACACGCGGAGGTGCTCAAACCAAAGCCAACGGAAAGCTGAAAATTTGGAAAACAAAATTGGGGGTCTCCGCGCATGGTGCGCCGAGGGACGTGCATTTGAAAAAAGTGTTCGATAAAGGGGGGGTGTTCGTTAATACCCTGTTTTTTTTTTTTTTTTGCCTTACGACAATTGCAGATGTACCTCAGAAAACTTTTACTTCATGTATTATACTCTACATGAATATTAAACCAATACGAAGTACAACATAATATGTAGGACTTATTTCTACTGTCATTTACATCGTAAAAATATCTCCTCTTCAACTTGAAATAAAACCAAGGACAATCCTGATGGTATCCTATATGCGTTCGTAAGCTTGCTAAAATACTACTGCGTTGATGTCCTCTTGTAAAAGCTGAAATCCCACAAATGCTTTGATCCATGCTACATCTCCGTGTTGGAAAAGCCCTTTCTTCTCCGTTCATGATAACATCTTACCCTATTCTACGCAAATCTGTCACATCTACTCTCAAACAAGACGCCAACTTCAAACGAAAACGCGTTCTACGATGCGTGTACACTCCATCTCCATATCATTGGCGTTGACTGGTCCGAGGTCAATCTTGTTCGCCTGTTTTCGGCGTCTTGACGCCCGCGCAATGCGAGCTTGTACCTCTGCACTCGCCGAGATATGGCCACCTGTGTAGCCACCGAAACGATCTGAAGAAGTCGTTCCTTGAAGACTCCTTTCAGAGCCATCGTTCCTCCGTCCCTTCCTCCCACGGCATGTGTCGCAAGTTCATCGATGAACTCGTAACCCTCCTCTCCAAGGCGGCCAAAGCTTTCCACGGCTAAGGTGGTAAGTTTAAAGCTGCGTTCGTCAAAGGACACGTGTCCCGGACGAGCGTAGTGCTGACGCTTTCGCGCCTCGGATGCTTGGGCTGCGATTCCATCGCTGGTCGCGCTGCCGTTCCGCAAGTGTACCTGTGCTTGCGGGTCTGCGTGTGTGACATCGAGGAGTATTCCTTTGTTGCGGTACCCCGGAGAAGATGCGTTCGTGAGGGCTCCTGGCCTGATGACGATGTCCATGCTCAGGTTTCTTTCCCCCGTGAACGGTGCCCCGCTTTCAACGTCGTGTTTGACGCGAAGGCCGTTGAGTGCTCTCGATAGTGCGTATTTTAACGGCTCGTGCATGTTGACCTGTGCTCCATCCCTTGGACAGGTCCTTGCGTGCACCGTTGTGATGATCTCGCCTTCCCTGCCTCTGTGGCACCTGGGACATCTTTCCGCCAAGAATTCTTCAACTCCCAAGGCGCGTCTCGTCGCGTAGACGAATTCGTTCGATGGAATCTCTCGAGCTCGGTCGGTGGGAGCCGCTCTCAGGAACGCGTGCCCCCCTTGCCCTTGCGAGCTTCTCGTTCGTGCGTATGCCATGTTCCTGGCCTCTTGACCTCCGTAGGGGTTGTCCCGCGTGGGTGGTACCGCCTGCTGGGGGAGGTGCTCCCATGAACCTTTCAAGTTGTATCTTGTAAATCGCCTTGCCCAGTTTGTGCTGGGCTTTCCTCGGCGTAGTAGATTCCCCATCGTGTGCTGCCAGTTCTGCAACGGTGGGCTGACGCCTTCCGGTTTCTCCTGCCGGTTCTAAGGCCCACTCAACCCATGACGGGGGAAGGATCCCCTTCAGAATCTCCACCGATACTCCATGCTCCTGGTTGAGTTCTTTGATAGCGTCCCCCAGTGTATTCTATGCAAACAACTCTGTGCTCATGTTCTCTGCTAAGTACCATCTCTTCTTTCTGTACTATGTCTACGGAAGGCTAGTTGCCGCAGTCGCACCTATAGTAAACTGTGCCTGACTACGTTGTAACAGTTTTCCTCGATATTCCACACTACCATCCGTTTTTACTGCTTGCTGCTGCCTTCTTCTTCACATGACCTGCCGTATACATACACCGAATGACCAACCCACTACCGACCCATGATGCCGACAAACTACATAGTACGTCGATACACTCCACACGCATCCGACCCACGCCATACCCATCCAAATATGAAACGCTGGCTGCACCAATCAATACATAACCACGTCAGCACACACGGAAGGAGTAAAAATGTTCTCCCGTGCCCCTCTACGCCGCAACAGAAATTAATTATCCCATACACACACAACTCGGGCCGACCGCCAGCTCAAGATCCGGCTACTCCAGGCTGAAGTGGTGGAGACTCT